TAGTTTGAAGCAAAGATTTCGAGATTATTAAAAGCTGAAGAAACACACGATAAATGATGAATTGATAACAAGATTTTATTCGAAGGTTGTGTTCAGTTCGTAGCGAAGATTTCGTGTTATTACCTGGTGGGAGAACACACAACAGATAAATAGTGCAAAACAAAATCCTATTCAAATATTTTTGCACTGCAAACCAAACGTTTTCTATTCAATACATTGTGGAGGGCGATACGACAAATGAATAATTCATACCAAAAATGTATTCAAAGATTTTGTTCGGTTAGAAGGAAAATTTCCCGTTCATTAGAAAATGGAGGAACACACGACAAAGGACTACTTCATAGGAAGATTTAATTCAAATTTTTTCTGTTTCAAATATAGATTTTGAATGCATTAGACGGTGAAGTGACGCACGACAAATGAATAATTGATAACAAGATTCCATTCAAATATTTTGTTTAGTTCGAAGGAATGATTTCAAGTTTATTAGATGATGGAGGAACACACCACCAATGAATAATCCAGAGCAATGTTGTATTCATATATTCTGTCCTGTTCGAAGCAATGATTTCAAGTTTATCAGATGGCGGAGGAACACAGAAAAATGATTAATTTATAGGAAGGTTTTATCAAAATATTGGGTATATTTTGAAGCGAAGATTTCGAGTTATTACATGGTCGAGGAATATAGAACGAATGAATAATTTAGAACAAGATTCTATTCAAATATTCTGCTCAATGTGAACCAAAACCTTCGATGTCACTACATGGTGGTGGAATACACGACGAATGATGAACTGGTAACAAGATTCTATTCAAAGATTTAGTTCAGCTCGAAGGAAAGTTTTCCAGTTATTTTATGATGGAGGAGTGCATGAAGGACGAATAATTGACATCAAGATTCTATTCAAATAATTTGTTCAGTTGGAAGAAGTGAAGTCCAATTTATTAGATCTTGGAGAAACACACCACAAATGCATAGTTCATATTAAGATTCTTTTCAAATATTGTGTTTAGTCGAAGCGAAGATTTCGACTTTATTACATGGTGAAGTAGCATTCGACCAATGATTAATTTAGAAGAAGATTCTGATCAAGTATTTTGTGAAGTTCGAACCAAAGACATTAGGTTTATTAAATGCCGAGGGAACATATAAGAAATGTCTAGCTCATATTAAAATTCTACCAAATATTTTGTTTAGTTCGAAGGAATGATTTCAAGTTTATTAGATGATGGAGGAACACACCACCAATGAATAATCCAAAATAATGTTGTATTCATATATTTTGTCCTGTTCGAAGCAATGATTACAAGTTTATCAGATGGTGGTGGAACACACAAAAATGATTAATTCATAGCAAGATTCTACTCAAGTATTTTCTTAAGTTCGAGGAAAGGATTTCGAATACATTACAACGTGGAGGAACACACGACGAATGAATGATTCATATCAATATTCTATTCAAATATTTTGTTCACTGCGAACCGAGAATTTCGACGTTATTACGAGGTGGTGGAACACATGACAAATGATGAACTGGTAATAAGATTCTATTCTAATATTTTGTTAAGTTCGAGGAAAGGATTTCGAATACATTACAACGTGGAGGAACACATGACGAATGAATGATTCATACCAATATTCTATTCAAATATTTTGTTCACTGCGAACCAAGAATTTCGACGTCATTACGAGGTGGTGAAACACATGACAAATGATGAACTGGTAACAAGATTCTATTCAAGGTTTTTGTTCAGTTTGTAGCAACGAATTCAAGTTCATTACAGGGTGAAGGAATCGATGACAAATGAATAGTATATAGGAATATTTTTATCAAATATTTTATTCTATTCAAGAAAGGAAATCTAGTTTTTTAGGTGTTGTAGGAACATACAACAAATGAGTAATCCATAGGAAGGCTGTATTCAGATATTTTGTTCATATCGAAGCCACTATTGCGAGTTTATTAGATAGTTGAGGGAAACACGACTAACAAATGATCTACAGTAAGATTTTATTTAAGTATTTTGTCCACTTAGTAGCAAAGTTTTCGACTTTATTACATGATGCAAGTACACACGACTAATGGATAATTCCTAGTAAGGCTCCTTTCAGATATTTTGTTCATGTCGAAGCCGCGATTGCGAGCTTATTGCATGGTTGAGAGAAACATGACCAATGAATAGGTCGGACTAACGTTCTATTTAACGATTTTGTTCAGTTCGAAACAAAGTTTTGAAGTTCGTTATATGGTCGTAGAATACACGATAAATGAATAATATGAAGGATTATTGTATTCAAATACTTTTTCGTGTTTGAGGTAAAGTTTTCTAGCTTATTATAAGGTGGTGAACTACATGACGAATCAATAATTCAAAGCAAAAATCTATAGAAATTTTTTGTTCAGTTTGAAGCAGAGATTTCGACTGTATTGCATAGTGGAGGAACATATGATAAGTGAGTAATTCATACCAAAGTTTTATTTAACTATTTTCTTCAGTTTGAAGCAAAGATTTCGAGTTTATTACCTGGTGGTTGAATACGCAGCATATGATACATTCATACCAGGGTTCTATTTAAATATTTCGCTCCTTTGGAAGCAAAGATTTCGAATTCATTACATAGCCGACGAACATCCCTTAAACGAATAGTTCATATTAAGATTTTATTCAAATATATTTTTCAGTCGAAGCAAAGATTTTGAGTTCATCTCATGGCGGAAAGAACACATGCAAAAGGAATTATTTCTAAAAAGATTCTTTTAAAATATTGTGGTTAGTGTGAAGCGAAAGTATGACGTTAGTGAGATCGATGAGGATGACGTGACAGATGAGTCTTTTAATGACGGTCTTATTCGAATACTGAGATGTTTATTGGATAGTGTATCTATGCTGTACTTAGAAGAAAAGTCTCGTTGAAAATGAAGTATTTGTACGTTTATTGATTAAACGATGGAGACGACCATTTCCAGCAAGACGTTGAATTGGTTCACCTTGAGCCATATAAATTACTGCAATAAAAATGGCGATGCAGCAAACGATTTGATTCATGTTGTACATTATAATTTGTATTTGTTTGGCGTTTGAAACGAATGCGAGATGAATAAATATGCTTGAGTAAATTATGAGGATTTGCTTCGGCTTTATATAGGCCGATCGTCAAGCAAAAGCCAACCTACGAAAAATAGTTGTTTTTTCGTCGTCGGAGAGAGATAAAGAGAGAGAGAGAGTATCATATCTGGCTGTAGAGAGGGATAAAGATTATTCTTAGCTCGTATATACTGACGAAAAGAGACAGATTTTTGAGTATATACAGTTAGATAAAGACGTCAGCAGATTATTTTTAGCTCGTATATAGTGACTCAAAAAGAGGGATTGTTGAGTATGTAATGATGGATATATGCATACGCGATTTATTTTTTAGCTCGTATATAATGATGCAGAGAGAGTGATTTTTTATATGTACAGGTGGATATAGGCATACGCAATTTATTTTTTATTTCGTATACAATGACTCAAAAAGAGGGATTGTTGAGTATGCACAATGGATATATAGACATACGCACTTTATTTTTTATTTCGTATGCAGTAACCCCAAGAGAGGGGTTTTTGAGTATGTACACGTGGATAAAGACATACGCAGTTTATTTTTTTATTTCGTATACAGTAACCCTAAGACAATAATTTTTGAGTCTACACAGTGGATATACAGATATATGCGATTTATTTTTTAGTTCGTATATGGTGACTCAAGCAAAAGTATTTTTGAGTATATACAAGTGAATAAAGACATACGCAGTTTATTTTTTATTTCATATACAATGACTCAAAGAAAGTAACTCTTTTTCTAACTAGTGAATTGAACATAAATCTACGAATGTTTATTAATGAAAAGAATAAATGATAGATGTAAGAAAAAATGAAAACTAAATAAATAATAACGTAGTTTGTTTTAATCATTTCGATTGTGATTTATGAAAAACGAACTGAAGATGTTCTAAAAAGATAATCCACAGATATTTATATTTATTCTGTGATAGAATATATAAATTAATTTTTATTTTCATTAAACATGAACATAAATTAAAAACATGCATTCTACAAATGTTTTTAATGAAAAAAATAGAAAAATAAAGATTTAAAAGTATTGAAATATATTGATTGTTCGTTGAGATTTGACGAGATATAATATTAAAAAATGAATTTGTATATAGTAGAACTGAAGGACCCACTTTAGTTGATTGGTAGACACTGGAACGTGCTTTAAGTCGTTTAGTTGCTCTATGAATTTCATATGTAGCTCCACAAATATAATTGACAGTAATCTTTTCTGAAGAAGGTGCATGAACAAATCCTAAACAGACCTATAAAATATATATATATATATATATGAAAATTACTGATTATTCTTTCAGATTCTATACTTATTTTCCAAATGTAAAACCATATGCTGCAGAAGTAATAAATTCACTATTACAATGAATAGGTTCACCACTTAGTATTTCAATAACCATGGATCTGAATCGAGATTACGATCTTCAAGAAGACGTTGTACAAATAGTTTTTGTATACCATCTCGTCGCTGTTTAATAAAGTTTCTTTACCAAGAAAATTATTCTAAAATTATATTTATATATGTAGAATAACAAACTTTACTTAATTAGATTTTATTTTTACATCAAATGAAATGGCGTTGTTTTCTTATGGATATCATGTCTCCAAGATGGGTATATACGTTCAGTGCGAAGAGTTCATTGAGTAAAGTATCTAAATTAATATATATACATAAGAATTTATTAATATTATCCAGCATTGTTTATTCCATAATCTTTACCTTGTTCCATTAATATATCGTAAACACATAAACCATACTAGCAAAGAAAAATAATCAACCACAAATATAAAATATATTTTACTTCTGATGGAATGTAAAGCATATCAACAGCAACATTAATTATCACTCATTTACTATTTCTATTCTTCTCTTTCATCATCATCAGTCAATTCAATCTTGTAAAATCATTAAAATGTTCATCACTTAATTGAGATAGTAAATATTTGGCTTTCGGTCCAATTACATCCAATGCTGTATAAAGTGAGGTTACATCCGATAGAAAAATAGAAGTATCTTCTGGTACATGTGTTTTAAGCCATTTCATATTGCGAGTTGATTGCGAAGTTGGACTAGCCAAAAGAAAACTAATAAGAACACAAAAATCTTATATTTCTATAAAAAAAAACATCGTATACTACTGATATTTTCATAACCAACTTGTGCATTTAACATTCCTGTATGAACAACAGTACCAATTGGCTTATCAATATTATTTGCATAAAACATTTGAAGAAAATCCACAACGCTTTGATTTGCTGATTCTAATTTATATATTGTAAATGATGTCATATCAATAACAGCTATACTTTTTCGACATGCATTATATTCTTTTTTAACTGTATTAAACCATCGTGCTTTACCAAATGTGCCTGTTTACTTAAATCTTGAAAATCTTCTATATTGCAAAAAAACGAAATAAAAAAATCATCTTCTTTTAGTTTCAAAATACTTTTTCCTGCTTCATCTGTCTTAAAAAATATTGGACGTTCGTAACCAAGTACTTCGCCATAAGCTGGATACTTCAATGAATATTGTTTTCCTATTATAAATTAATATAATAAAAACAAGAACATATCTAAAGTTTTACCTGGTATTTCTCGTAAACGATCTTGAAGAAATCGTTCATTTGTATGTAAACGCATAAAACGTCGTATATCAACAGACCATGTACTTAAATTTGTATTTCCATTATGTATTAATTCAGCTATATATTTTCCAACACCACCAGCAAGTGCTATACTATGTCCATTAGAACCAGATGCAACGAAATAATTATCAATCTAAAGTTTTCTTTATTTTATAAAACATTTCTATTCATTAAATAAATTACTAACTTCAACTGATTCATTCATTATTAATCGACTATCTGGTGTGAAACTATCAGCGCCAGTAATAAATCTTTCACATTCACTTTCAGCTAGAATAGGGCATCGTTTAATAGTATTACTTAGTATGCAATCTAGAAAAATAAGTATAAATATATGATGAATAAAATGATAATAACCTACGAAAATCATCCCAGTTATCGGGTAGAAGTGAAAAATGAAATATATCTGGAACACCATTTGAAAAATAGGTTCTTCAGGATTATGAATCGTTGGAAAATTTTTTATTAGTTTAGTTTTTTAAACATATATATTCTATATAATAATTTTATTAGATATTTTTTTTAAATAGAATTCACTTTATAAATTACCACATGCTTGAGTAAGAATCCGTACACTTGGTGAAGTTTGAAATCCAAGTTCGCATGCCCACTTGAAATATAAACAAATAGTTAATTATTTTCATATAGAAATCAAATACATTACATTTAATATGACCTTTTGATGTTACAGCACCAGTTACATGATCATATTATCCAGTACGTTGTTGTTCTGTAAGAATTTCTTGAGCAAATGTTAAAGCTAATGGTATGGGATCAACCATAAAATCATTCGGTAGCCAAAGACCATCCTTTAGATACATGTCATTAAATAAAATATGTATATATATTATAGAAATTTATTTTATACCCAAATTTCATATAGATTAATTATTGATACTTTTTCTCTTAATTTTTCATGACTTAATATTTCACAATCGATTCCTAATGCTTTTGTAGTAGAATATTGACGCTTAAGTGTATGGAGATGGTCAGATGCTTGAGGTATCCATAAACTTCCTTTTTTAATAAAACCTACTGAATATAAATCATAATACAAAACACTTTTTTTTAAATTTTAAATATTACTAATATCATGTTCTTCTTTATGTAATCGTTCATATAGTTCTCTTGAATATTTTGTAAATGAGATACTTGATCAGAATTTTCCCATGTTGAACCCGATGCTAATCTATTTCAATGCAAATAGATTAAATGAAATACAAAATATTTTTATTACTTTGCTTTTTCGATGAGTAATACAAGATGATCTATATGCTTTTGTAAACGAAAGTAAATAATGCTTTATTATCGGTAAGAGAACGCAATACAAAAATTCTTATTTATGTCATGTTTGAAAACAACTAACGCTTTAAAAATATCTAATGGATTAATGGATAAAAAAAATCCATCATCTGACTCTATACAGAAACCTAAGTAAAAAATAATAGCATATTCTATAAGAATAGTATTTACGCATCACTGCACAACTAAAATTCAACCTTGATAGTAAATATTCTTATATCTGCTTTTTTCTATTTCAAACCTTTATATTATAATAGTACTCTAGATTTCTATTTTAAAATTCTAATTAAATGTTTTATTCAATATTGATTATCATAATTATAGTATAGAGTACTATAACAATACCCGAATCAACGAATTACAAATAAAGGATAGATTAGTAAACAATATCATAATGATATTGATTGGATAAAAAATTATTTATTTTATCATCAATACATTTAGTTTAAGACTACTAGCGCTATTCTTCTCATTGCTTACTTAAAATAATTTCAATCATGATAATACGAAGGAAGATGGAGAACTAAATGTATTGATATCCATTTATTTGGATGATTTAATTATAAGTTATAATAATCCAATTTCTTTGAATATAACAATCTGTTCTAGTGGAGATGAAAATGATTTAGATCGTGATAAACGTTTATTATGTATAACATTTATTGTAGAATTTCAATCAACATATCCATATTTAGTTTCACCAAAAATAACTCTTTGTCATCCTCCTGGGTTAACAGATGAACAAATCAATGAATTAAATTCTTTCATATATTCTTGTTTTGAATCAAATATTAGTTCTTGCGTACTTTATGAATGTATTGAATCAATACGTTCGAAATTATCTGTTTATGAACTTCCATAGGAAGCTTATGCTGTATTTTTAACATTAATAAGTAATCGAAATGATATTGAAGATCTTGTATGTCGACAAACGCTTGCAAATAATGTTATTGAACAATTGCCATCATCATCTTCAAATGAACAAAATTCTAATGAAGAACATCAAGAACTAATTGAAAATTTTTCACGACATATAAAACAATAGCAAGAAAGAAAACATGCACTTTTTCAATAACAAAAAGAGAAAGGAGGAATTATTGATCTTGATAAAAGTCAAGATATGATATTTAGTTAAATAATTTATTTTTTATGTTATTTATTTTCTTTTCTTCTTCGTTTGAAATTTTTCAGATTGAAACTATTTTATATGAAATAAAAGAAACTATAAATTTTTTTTTATACTTTGTAAATAGAAATTGAAAAGAAAAATATTAGAAATAAACAGTATGTATGACGAGTAAATCACATTACTACATCGTAGCTGTGTAAATGAACTTCCAAGTGTTTATAGTTGAGGGTGTGTGTGTGGTACTCCTCTCACGTCCACATTCATATCATCACAATCACACCCTTCCTAAAGCATCGTATATTGCTTCAACAAAATATCGTAATAAATCAGACAATAAAGAGGTAAAGTTAATTATAATATTTAATCGAATGTTTTCATTTTTTTTCTTTTCTTATTAGCCGATTGTTCAATGGAAAATGCGTTTACCAGAAAAAAAACCATTGGTTTTAAATGAAAGACAAAATGAATCTAATTCACGCACAGAGAAAAGTACTGTTAAAAAACGTCTTGAACCATTACATGTTCTAAATGAATTTCAAAATTAAAATTCCATTATAAACATATAGAAAAATAATTTGTCAGATTTAATACTCTCATTTATTTGTATACTGATCGTTTAAACGGAATCATTCATTCATAATTAATGTCTTTTAACTTTAGTATAATCAAATACGTGTCAAAACAAGAATGAAGAAAACGATTGAAAATTTAATCTATGAAGTTCAACTATATATTCAATAAAAAGAAATGAGATCAGTAGTCATTCAAAACTAAACATTTTTATCTGAATTATGTTTATGAATAACTTATTATAAAGTAAGATCCATTGCAGTATTTATTTTTTGTATAAGAAAAAAAAGTACGATACATATAAAAAGATATTTATTCAGGAAAAAAATCTGACTTGTATATGACTATATGAAGATCATGAGTTAAAATTATCTATGTTTGTTCAGTCTAAATAGAACTCTATAAAAAAAAGAACAATTGTATATAATTTTTCTTACCTGTCCCATTTGTGCACTGCCAAAATTGATATAATCTTTTGTAGTAGCTGCACGATATTCATCCATAAGTTGTTGTACAACCTAAATTTTAATATTACAAAAATTAAATTAATTTTTCGTGTCTTACTTCACGTGAATCATTGAATTCATCAAGATTATCTTTAAACATTGGTAAACGACGAAAATTCTCTACGAATGCTTCACGTTTGATTAATTTATCAAAATGTTCACAAATACGATCAAATAACTAAAATAAATTTAATCATATGTTATTATATTTAATAGATGAAATATATATATATACAGATGAAATGCCCGTATGATTAGCAAGCATAAGTCCACTAACACGATGTTGTGTTGTTATATAAGGTGATTTTTTTGAAAGAGCAACTTGAATTGAAGCTGGACCCCATGGAATAAAATCAGCTAATTTTCGTTCACGAATACGCATTAAACTTTTATGAACCTTTAATAAATGAAAAACATTATTCGAAAATAAAGAAAATAGAAGAATAAAATACCTCAGATGGATCGACATCACCTTGAATTATATTTAAAATTGAAACATAACAATGTGTTACATTTCGATCACGAGCTGCTGTTGTTACCATAACATTTTTTGGTTGTAATAAACGTCGCATTACATCAAGAACAGTTGTTTTACGTACTTCAGATTCCTACAGAAAATAATTAAAGTTTGCAATCATTTTTTTTCTATTTATTCTTACTGTATTATCTGATGTTAATGGTGTATAAGCCGAAATAAGAAAATGTAAACGTGGTGTTGGTATAAGACTTGATATAAGACTAATTAAATCGTTATTCATATAACCTGGATATCGAAGTGTAGAAGTACTACCAGACATAATTGTTGATACCAGTTGATTTAATTCAGCAAGTGTTGGTGTTGCCTTTTTAAGACGTTCAGTAGCAATACGATTTAATGCTGTATTATCTAAAACAACCTATAATAAAAAAAATGACATGAATTAATAAATTAAATTTGCCTTACTGTACAATCAGCATTTTCAGTTAAACGTTTAAGTGTTAGTACAGAATTGTAAGGTTGAACAACGACATCTGCCTAATAGATAATAACGAAATATTGAATACTATAACAGAAATATTTTACTCACAACTTCATTTGTCATAGGAAATACAGAGTATGTTTGAATTAATTTTTTTGGAAATCTATTCGAAAATAAAAAATACAATATTGTAGTTTTTAAATATTCATTTACCGATCATTAAGTTTTTCAAGAATATTACTACCCATACCAGAACCTGTACCTCCAGCAATAGAATGGCAAAGAACAAAACCCTATTTAAAAAAATTTGAGTTCAATAAAAATAATTTTAAAATAAATAGTTTACTTCAAGTGAATCACCATTATCAGCTTCTCGATCGATAATATCAAAAATTTCTTCATATAATTTTTCACCTTGATAAAAACCTTGTGCCCAATTATTACCTAAGAATAAGATGAAATGTAATAATAAAAATAATAATTAATCAATATATACATACCAGCACCTCCACCATCTTTGGAAATATAAACATTTTCAGGATTATATAAATGTCTATATGGTGATTTCATAATACCATCAATAACACGAGGCTCAAGATCAAGTAAAACTGCACGTGGAATGTAATGTTGATCATCTGCCTAATTATAGTTCGAAAAAACAAAATTATTTATTTCGTAAGAAAAATTCCAACGAACTTGATAAAAAAAGACATCTTTACGATCTGAACCTTCAGTTGCAAATGGTTCTAATTTTCCTTCAGGACTTATACCATGTTCAGCACATAATTGTCTCCAAAATTCCATACCAACTAAATAAATAAAATAGTATGTCATTCAAGATTTTCTTTATCTTTCTTATTGTCACAATTATCATTAATCTAATCGACGTTTATCTCATTCCATCAAAATCATATGACTTTAAATAACGTGATTTAAGATCACACTATTATTTGAACATCTTGTTTTCTTAATTAACGATAAATAAAATAAAATATTTATTAATCATGATTTTTATTTGCCATACAAACGAATGTTATTCATTCGACTGTTTTCTATTATTTATAGTTGATTGCTACAAGCCTACCTATTCGCTTCAATAAACATTAAAAAAACTTGTTTCTTTTTCTTTGATATAACTCAAAATTGACTTACTTTGATTGCCACATTGTCCAAGTTGTAATGTAATGATTTCACTAGGCATTTTATTTTTTAGAAAAAACAATCTTCAAACAAAAGACAACAAGTGTATTAACTGTAAAATCTTTCTATGGATAGTATTCTTTTTTTTTTGCTTTGTTTTAATCTGTTTACTTATCCCCAAAAAAAAAGGAGCAAACGATTAAAAAGAACGAGAAAAGAAGAAAAAAAACTGATAGACAACACTTGAAAGAAAAAGAAAACGATAATGCTTATATGAGAACAAAAAAAAAAAAGAAAAAAAAATCATGTTTGTTAATGTGTGTATTCATTCGATTGTTTAATGATGTTTAGACAAAGTTTTATGAATATGAATAAACAAAAAGAAGAAAGAAAAATTATCAAGAAGAAAAGGTTTGTGAATAAAATTCATACAAACCTCATAGATGATTGAAATCGTCTATTCACATTCGGATTTTTAATGACTCAATCTTGTTTGAAATACACACATATACATCCATAATAGACTGATTACATTTTGACAAACAAACATAACGAACACCCAACGAAATAAACATCAAAGCCAAGGTTGTTAATGCGCGCATAAAACAAAAAAAAAAGAAAGAAATACATTCTAGAATCTTGTAAAGTTACACACACCGGAAACAAAGAAAATGAACGTGAACATAGGATAAAAAGAGAGATGATAATCTGTTTAGAACGTATAATAAAGAGTTGTTTTTTTTATCTATCTGTAAATAGTTTTATGTTTCAATACAAGGGGACAAAACTTTTAATTTGGCTACAATATATGCGCGCTTCAAAAAACCACACACACACACACACACAAAGAAAAATAGAATAAAAGCTGAGTTATTTAAACATGAGTATGAGTTTGCGTGCATTACATATGTATATATTTATATATATGTATAGATTTGTTAGCTTAATCATATTTATTAGTTTTAATTTCCACAGGAAAAAAGAAAATAACCGAGTGAAAATCCAAATATTAATGCAACAACAAAAGCCACAAGAACAAGTTGTTCAGTTAACGTTATACCAAAAAGAACAAGACCTTTTTGTTGTTGATTTGGTTTAAATCGATCGACAACTGGATTATCAACACGATCATTACCAACATTTCTTTGACGAAGGTCTTGTTGTTTAATTCTTTCCTTAAATAAAGCATAACGAAAATAATAAACATGAAATTAGTAGAAATAATAAGTATCACAATTAATTAAATAAAATTTTCCAATAAAAAGTCCAAAAAGAAAAATAATCAAAGAAATAAAACTAAACATAATTGAATTGTCTTTTCTTTTGATAGATTTCATTGATGTTAAAGAATGAATTTGTTCATCAATTTTTCTTTTCATTCGATGAATTTCATACTAGATATATATATGTCAACATATAAATAATCAAGATTTTGTTTTGCTCTCTTTTTGTTTAAAAAATTACGAAAATGAGAAATGGTCTTACGATACGTACTTTTAAGCTTTCATTCTCATCTTTCAAACGATCAAGTTCTTGTTTGAGATGTGATTTATTTGAATCATTACCAGTATCCTATATAAAAAGAAATCAATATAGAATTATATATGCATTACATAATATCAACTATAAAAATGTGCGGAAGGTTAACTACAAGCATATAAATAAAATGTGTTTTGTGAAAAAAGAAAACTAAATAGCAATTAGTATACAGAAGAAGAAGAAGAAGAGACTGTATGATTTT